AGCCCTCGTTGCTGTTGTTATGCTCTTAGGCCCTTATATTTTGTGCCACCATCCTGAGCGTGTAACTTTAAGTTTTGAGCACAGAGAACTATATTTTAGCAAAGAAAAACATATTCCGTGCGCGCAGTTCACAACGCTTCCTAAAGAAGACGGAAAAAAGCGATATTAGAAGTCCGGCTAGCCACCATCAGACATGACCCAAGCAAATGATGAGAACAGCAAGTGTTTTAATCCAGGCCATTAGCATTTAGCACAAATGCTGCAAACTTCAACAACTCGCTGAGCTTCCGCGATGCTGTAGGTAGTCCTACTAGCGTTGTGATTGAAGACCAACAGCCAATCACAATGGACCTTCTTTAGTTCTCTGATTGGTTGGTTTTGTGGCACAAATGTAACGCTGCTGCAAGTCGAGCGAGCGCAGAGCGAATAGGTGGAGAGAGCGCAGCAACGGCTGCCTGCGCGCAGAAAACCAGTTTGTGGAGAGGGCACCTGAGTAAACTGCGCGCACGGAATATGTTTTTCTTTGCTAAAATATAGTTCTCCGTGCTCAAAATTTAAAATTACGCGCTCAGGATGGTGGCACAATGGTGGGGGGCCCAAATATGTTCAATGAAATAATCAATCCCAGATTACATTAGTGAGCACGTATATGATGGAATATTTCCTACACTGAATATTTCAGTAAAAGAGACTTGTATAATTGTCTAAAATTTTATTCATTTCAAGTCACATCTACAAATACTTTTATCCGGCCAATTTAAGGTAATAGTAATAATAAATACCTGTTGAGTAATTCCACAACGTGTACTTGAAAAAGCAGACATTTTAATAACTGGACAATTACAACGGTTGTTTTAATATCAGACAACACACAATCCTTAAAGAGAACAAGAATCGCTGAAATTGCTAAAATTTGATTATTGAAAGCGTTGGCAACGAATTTCATTATCGATTCGTTGTGTCGGTTCAAAGAAAGACGCAGAATGCTTTTGTCTGCATATATTTCTATTTCTATTGCATCAATGTAATTTAATTTAATATTGCACTTTTTGTATATATTGTGGATGTAGTAAAATTACCTGTTCACTGTTTATGTGTTTTGTGTTATTGACGGGAAATACGAGCCACTAGATTGCTGTGTTATTTTTCAATGGTCACGCGTTGACGATCTCCTAAATGCGTGTACAACGTACAAGGTTTGGGGATTGGTCATTTCATTGAACATATTTGGCTTCACCCAGCCACCTAGCTGACCGGCCGGCGCCCGACCCACCACCTTGCCAGTCGGTCAGCTAGGCGGCCAAGCCAGCAAACTTACATTGCTAAGTTGAATAAACAGGTACTATACGGTCATGTGAACTTAGAGAGATCAGTCCAGAGCTGAGTTAAACACAACATTACGAGTTGTACCAAATTGTAAATCCAATTTGATTTTTCTCAAAAGTCTCCAACATTTGGTGGCAGAATACGTGTATTTTAACCATTTATTTAATTATATTAAACTGTTTCTTTTATTTAGCCAGGTTAGTACAGATGTATTTAATGCAGTTCATTTTATGTGATTTTTATGGTTCATTTGCAACCATTGTTGCATACATCTTGTTATATTTATTTTAGGGAAGAGGGAACACGTGTTTATTAAGCAGTACGTAATGAGAGTTTATGAATACAGACGTTTGTTTTCATTAATTGTGGTTTATTTGTCACACTTCCATCCAAAATGGAACGGTTAGGCCCAAGAGGTCAAAGGGCCCTGATGATAAGAAATAATGTTGGTCAAATGCTGCGGTATAAGGAAAATGACTTGTATGGCTTCATGGCATTCAGACATTTTGACTGTAGAATATTTGACATGTTTCTCACTAGGCAAGAACAATTAAGAAATTGATTGATTCTCTTTTCTCCATTGCCTCCATGTAATATTTCACGTGACCCTTAGAGTGAATCACCTGTTCACTATTCATGCGATTGACAGGGAACACTGCCATGACATTTTTGAGAATTGTCATAACTACATGTACAAGGTTTTAAGTAATTGATATAGTACAAAAGGTTTTCTTTTGATTTGAAGATTTTTGGTTTCAGTCACGGTTTGCCCCCATTGCATTGTGGGTAATGACGAAAATGAACAAACGTGTAATCCTATTCATATGAGAATAAGAAATGAACGTGTTCACTAGTGGAATTTGGGATTGATTATTTCATTAAACATATTTGCCCTCCCACCACCCACCGAAATTTGGCTCTCACCCAAATCTCAGAAATTTGGCAACCCAATTTTGAATTTTGGCACTCACACACCGAATCTTCAATTTGGGACCGAATCTTTGCGGCCAGACCAGCTCGCGACAGCCTCCTGGCTGCAGGGCCAGGAGGCTGGCCGCGAGCTGGTCAGCCGACTTCCACATGCCTTATGTTTGGACTCGGGGCCTATAACTAAACGTCCCAGTGACGTTTGGTGAGGTCAGTAAGTGTCATATCGCCGCTAATTATAGTGGACACGTCATTACCCACAATGCAATGGGGTGGGGGCGGTGATGTTTAGAACTAGATCTCAAGATTCTTACAGCTTGTAGTAGGACCACCATTTACGCTGCGTTTTGATACAGCTGCAGCGGTCGGTTGAGTTGGTCCATCAGTAGGTGGGCTTGATCCGGATGATCCTGCACCTCGCTGTCCAGCACCACCAGGCGGCTGTGACATGCATCCAGCCAGACCGTCAGCGCCGCCCCCTCGCCGGGTACCGGTCGCCGGTCGGACCGTCAGCACCACACTTCAATATTAACCCCGAAGTTTAGTTTCTGACTCACCGATCAGTCGATTATTTCTACGTAAAATCCACCCGCCGCTGTTTCCTCGTGAAGACGTCGATCGCAGCGGTGTAAACTCGTCTCAGATCGGTGATATCGTTGAACACCGCCGTCATATTGACTTTGAATTTCGCGGGGATTAGCCTTACAACGTGGCTGGCGTAGTGACGTCACCGCGCAAATGTCCAGCAATATCTCGATTTTAATTGGTCCATGTGAAACGTAACGCAGATGCTTACTTGTATAACTTGCAAAGGTACAGCAGAGTTGTAATTTTCGCCGTAACCCTATGAGTGACTAATAATTGGCGCTATAAACACATAAAGTGTTCTCTTATAGTGTGAGGCACTTAAACAAACAGAAAAAAAAAATCGAATCCAGTCGGCCAATGAGGAAGTAATACAAGTTTTGAGAATCTGCATCTATCCACCATATTATATTCAACTCTATGATGAAACACCATCGGGTTTGAGTTCACCGCGATGTTAAAACACTCAGTGCCTTTGTGTTACACAAGGAAATAAGTACCGGGAATACCGGGTCTCTGTATAAGCATGACGACGAGTCATATGTGCAAGTATTTACTCAGATACATCAGACATCTTTCCTCCAAGATTCACATGTTGCATGTAATATATTTCCACAAATACAAGTTGAAGTAGTCTAAAGGAAAGGATACGAATTCTTGAAAACAGCACATCGTTCAGTACAACATATTATCATTCTACACTGTGCACAGATCACAACTGTTTTGAATTGAATTTAGTAATAAATAATTTTTAAAAAATGGTAGCCAAATGTTTTTTAGTGATAGGGATTCTGTTTAGGTCTCAAACAGACAACTCTGGTCAAATGCTATTCTTGCATGGCCAGTTAACGATTCGCTTCATTGAAGCTGCAATAAAACAAAGGAAAGAAGCGAGCGACATTTGAAGCTTCCGCTGGTTACTCTGCATTTGTCACAGCCAACATCGGCGTCAGAGAAAGAGCTACCGAGTCCAATCGATTCATATCAGAACTGTTGTTTGTGGGGGGGGGGCGTCTCTGCAGAAACAGCTGAGCTATTGGCGGCCTGGTAAGTTTCAGAGCTCTTCAAAAACAAGCTGGAGTCAAGGAGAGACTCGACGGCTTGCACTGCACTGACTCCACAGTGTAAGGCCTCGTTTAAGTGGTGATGCAGCCTTTGCCTAGAGAGCATTGAGACTAGGGCTGCAACAAACGATTATTTTTTCAATTAATTGGTCGATTATTTCTTCAATGAATCAGATAAAAAAAACAGCATTAAAAAGTTTAATTTCAAACCCTTTATTCTAAAACAGAACTGCAAATTCACATTGCAAAAATACAGGTTGCTCCTTGAACACAATAATTTATTAAAAAATAAAATAAAAATATAAATCAGAAAATGTAACAGGATTTGTTTTAACGTCAGAACTTGTTCTCTATACTACACTCACACAGTCTCCCTCACAAACACACCCCCATGTTCACTTGAAGCTTATTCATTGAATAATTACCATCATTGTAGTGCAAGTTAAGTAAATATATACACCCCATATAAGTACAGCTAAACAACAACCAAGTGCTATGTGATTAATTTAAAATGGCATTTGTTAACAAATGTCAGGCGTCAAGTTGGGAGAATTGATTTAAGTATTTAGAAGGCGGAAGAGTCGATCACCAAAAATTTTTTTAACATTGCATGCAAAACCCTCAATTGTCCACTTTTAAGTAAGAGGTGGATGGGGAACCTTACTGGACTCTGACAAAACGGCAAGAAAAGGACCACCAAGTAAATGTCTTCAAAGGGAAAGGAGGGCATTTCAGACCAGAATATCACTGTGCACTTTTCATAGTTCTACCAAAACGTTTTGAAAAACCTGGTATGTACAATGCAATGAGCATAGCACAAAACTACCAGCCGGCGTCCCACCCACCGCCTTGCCGGCAGACCAACTAGGAGTCACAGCCAGTGCTGTAGTGGTAAAATTAGAGGTGGGTAAACTCTGAATTTTGTGATCATACAGACCTCGACGGGATGCGAAGCAACGCAACACAAAGCGTCGCGACTCTGTAAGGCTGTCCTGGCTATATTGGATTATGTTATCAGTAAAAGTCATATACAATCAATGACAATGAATAAATGTGTTAGTAGTTTGTAGTTTATTACATTTAAGAAAAGTATGTCAACACAACAAGACAATTGCAGGTTAAGAACTATCTACATATGGAGTCTCCTTTTTACAGTAGTGCCCAGAGGGCCTCCTTGTCCTCCATGTCAGGTCCTGCCTTGCACAGAGGAGCCATGAACCCCAGAACACGCGTTCTGGGGTTCATGGCTCCTCTGTGCTTCTCCTCTCTATTGGACCTGGTGTTTCTCCTCTCCCTGTGCTCTCTGCATCATTGCCTGTCCCATATGGTGAATTTAAGAGTTGTGGGGCTGAGAACACCAGTTAAGCAGCAATTCAATCACAATTCAATTACACTGACAACATAAGTTAAAGGAACACTCTATGTCATCATAAATAGCCTACAGCATGTTTTTTTCACATTGAGAACTGACTTGTTTTCTAATCTATGTTTACAGTGTATTTCGTTTACAGGCTACTCTACAACTTTCATGACTTCAAATAATTGATTAAGCATATAGGCCTATTCAGTGAACAGCTTTGCTCCCCGCTCACGTTTTCTATGCGAGAGCAGGACATGATGACGGAGCCTCCCCTGTCATCACGAAAGTAAAAATATATTTGACTTTGACCGCGAAATTTGAAGATTCTATAGCTAAACTAAAACATTTTATTCCATTTTATTTTGTGTTACCCCATAAATACCGTTCAAAACCAAACTCTTGACGGCAATGTCAGGTAGCTAAATGATCGTTTCCATCATAGTTCATATTTCTTACGTTACCAAGCACTGAATATGATTAGTCAATATCCATGTTATCTTGTGCTAACAGGTTAACCAAAGGGAATCTGAAAGGTTGATTAATTATCAGAGGAATCAGCTAGTCTTATAGGCCCAGGAGTTATAATGTTATACGATATACGAGTGCACTTTATAAGCACTCATGAGATCCCTAATCTAAGTTGTAGCAAGGTTACAGCAGTTGTCATCCTGACCTGACACTTTATTCTCTTCCTCCCTGGGTGTTAAAAGGAAATCAATTGTTCTCTGACATTCATTGTTATATTCTTCATGTATTATTATAATATTTAAAACAAAGTAATATTTTTGTTTTTGTTGTGGAGTTGCTACGTGTATTTCAGATACATTAGGCGATCCCCCTTGGGATCGTCAACAGGCCGTAGTGGTAGCCACCCAAGAGGCCCGCGACTACAGGGAGAGGAGAATGGTCTTCCCCAAACCTCCAAGCCAGCTGCCAGCAGGCATCTTCCACTAGAAGATTGGCCGATAATTTCATTAAACATATTTTGGAGGCCCCCCACCTGCCAACGGCCAATCACTCGGCCTAACCACCCGTGTCCCAGCCAGGCGGCCAGAACAGGCTGCTGTCTAGGACCCCTACCTGACCAGCCGGCGTCCCACCCACCGCCTTGCCGGCAGACCAACTAGGAGTCACAGCCTGCGCCGGCCACCCAACCAGTGTAAAACACTGGCACTGGGTGGCTACCGTGTGGAACTTTTCGAGGTAGAGGTCTATAACGCGACTAATAGTCTCAATCACGGTTTGCACGGTTTGCACTTTTTCTGGCTCGTTTTCTTTTCTTTTTTTTTTGATGTTCATGGCTTGGTAACGTCCCATACATTGTTTTACACCTTTTTAGTTGCATTAAATACTTTATTTTTCACGTTATTGGGTGTGGAAGGGGCCAAACGCTGCCCCATTGCATTGGGGGTAATGACGTGTTCGCTATAAGTAGCGGCGATATGGAATTTACTAACCTCACCAAACGTCACTGGAACGCGGAACGCGGTGTCAGGAGAATAAGGTCATTCTGAGTTCACCTGACCTGACCTGACCTCCCCGTACGTCACTGAACGCCCGATCCCTGCTGCAACGCTTGATGCGTGACACGTGGGTGCCCTGGAAGTGTGTCCATTGTGCGTAATCACCTGTTAACTGTTTATGTGTTTTGTGTTGTTCAAGGGAAAAACCAGCCAATAGATTCTTCTGTTATTTTTCAGATCACGTGTTCACGAATGTAATTCTTTCTAGTGTCCGCCTTGAGTAAAATGAACAAATCTTTTTTCGAGTCATTCGTTCATTCCGGGGGGGAAGATAACTTCCTGCATTAAAATAATGTATCATGGCAGTCTGATACATTTGAAGTGATCATTTATTTTCACACTAGCATTCAATTATCACGGCATAACTATTACACTGCACTAAACTGTAAGTGTAAATGTAACAGGTCTAAGTAAATATGTAAATCTTTTTTTGTTTTCAATTGTGTTTGGTTCAAGTTACTGTGTTTTATTTCTCCAAAATCCTTTTTCTGTCCTGTATATAATTAGCTTTGGTATTAGGAGTTATATTATTTTGTGTAACAGCGCCCTCTTGTGGGTAGAGTGTATTGTTTGACTGGCATTGCGTGCCCTCGTTAGTCTGCTCACCGGTGACTGAGAGGAGGTACGTACCGTACGCAACGTGAGCATTAAGACCGAATTAATGTCTTTCACTGTCTGTTTAGGTACACTTGATCATTTCTTTATGTGTATTATTGTAAAGGCATATGGGACTAGTGGTTTTGTGTTCAATTAATGTAAATTTGAGGTGAATAATGGGACGTTGCAATAGCTTTTTTCTCGACTTTGTCGCAGTGGTGCTTCGACGGTTGCCGTTTTTACGACAGCTGCCTCGACTTTGCGCCAGACAGTTGCCGTTTTATTTCCCAAATATGTGATATGTTTGTTTTATAATTTGCCAATATGTGACAATACAATACTGCCTTTAAAAGTACTAGTGTTGGTAGTTATTATTTTAGCAATAAAAAGCCAATAAGTGATACAACGGCTTCCCATTGTAGTGCAGCTAAGCGAATATGGACTAAGATCACTTGTCGCTCTGGTTACAATCTCTACTTCGAGAACTAATCAAAGGTTATGTGATTATACGAACAAACAATAATACTGGGTGGGTGCCATCAAGACGTGTCTAAAATTGAATGTCGGTATATAATATGTTTTTAGATATCCAGTGATTGGACAAAAGCTGCTGGATTAAAGTGTTTACCTTATTCTATATTATTTCATGATCAGGCAACAGACAGTACCTTCATGATGGATGTTACGTAAAAGGAAAAATGACATTGTTTGAATTATATTTATTTCCTTTTGACTATATCTGTTGTGCTTGTGAAGAAGCGACCACCCAAACGCAAGTGAACGTAAAGTGTTTTAACGAACACAAACACACAAACAGAAGAATACGGGCGTTTGGCCAGCAACGGTGAAGCCCAGTGAGCAGAGAGCGAGGTCCAGGCCGAGGGAGAGCGCACCGAACAGCAGGCAGCTCACGTCAAACAGGAAGCTGTGTAAAGCAGAGGTTAGCAACGGGACAATAATAGTTCAGCACGAACCGTCAGGACACAACGAGGCAGGCGATATATGACAGTATGTGAGACATCACTCCAAGTGTGAGTTTTACCGAAAACAAATCCTTTTGCATCTTAGTACGACACAGTGACGTAAAACAATATATGCAGAGTCAATACGATGTTTTTTTCCAGGATATTGTTTGTCTGGCTTCTAAATGTGAGCATGCGTACAAACATGATACGTTACTGCCTTTCTGTTCAGAAATGTTTACTTTGTTAAGGGACTTTTATTGCTTTTTGAGGCAAAACTGGCTTATTGTAACATAATATACAGTTAATAAAAGACTAAAAAGTAATGTATAGCTACAGGAATGTTCTGTTCGCAATGGATTAAATGCAGAGAAAGGGGTGATGAGAGTTAACACGAAGCATTGGTTGACTCTTGTATCTTGAAAATTTGTTGCATCCCAGCTTTTGAAAGTCTGTTTATAAAACCGACAGTTTGCTTCCTTATGTTTTCTATTTCAGGTCCCCGCCTGCCTTCAAGAGTTTGAAGATATCATGCATGGCGCCGCCTGCTGGTTAGACAAGGCCCAGTCCTGGCTCAGTGACCCGTGCTCCTTCCCCACAGCCAGAGGCCTCCAGAATCATGCAAACTCCCTGCAGGTCGGTGACACAAAGTGACAATCAAAATAACGGAGGAAACCTTGGTGGGTTTTTTCTGCAAGCTCAAAAATGTCTTTATCCAATGAAACATCATTAATTGGGCCCTCTTGCTTTGGTTATTCATTTTAACAGTAAATAGATCTTCATGGATTTAAGTATTGAAAGGGCAACTTTTGAACCCGGCCCCTATTTTCCATTTATCTGTTTCTATGTGAATGATGCGTACAACAATTTTAGAAATATTTTTAGTATTTCTCAAAGTCTTCTTTGTTTGCCATTAGGAAACCAATGCAGGCGGCAGACGCGCTAAACGTGCTGGCTGATTATGTAGAGGTCACTGAAGGGAAATAAAGCGTCCTCGCACTTACTGTAAATAGGTTCCATCTGCAGATGGATTTGCTTTGCTTTTGCTCAAACTGTAGGCTTGCGAGCAGAAATGTTGTAGCTTGCTCTTATTTGCTGCACTCCAGCCTTTCTCCTTACTCTCCTGCTGCCTCTGTGTGAGAAAGGCAGAATGTGTTCAATCAATGAGTCACGCTTTCGAACCGATCACGTCACTAGAAAGAATAGAGATAGGAAGATGGCTTTATGAAGGTGGAAACAGTTTGGATTATTTCACGTAGTGGAGACATTAGAAGCAGAGCTCCACAAAAATGCATAGTATAGGTACATACAAATAATTACACTATTACTAATACGTTAGAACGAATCAGGAATCAGGAATTAGGAAACATTTATTACCAAAATATGTCAAACATACAAGGAATTTGTCTTGGCGGATGGTGCATGACAGTAGACAGTGTGACAATAGACAACAAGACAGCAGTGCACAAGTAATAAAATAAAGTAAGATGAAATGCTAATGCAATGGGTTAGTAGAATAAGGCTATGGGTTAGTATAAAACAAGAGAATAAAGTAAAAAATGTTAAATATAAAAAAAAGTTAAAAAATATTAAGTGCACTAGCGAACAAGTAACAAAGTGACGAGTGACGACAAAGTGATAAATGACAGTTAAAGTGACATGTGCAGTGTGAAGGGGAGTGACCGGTGGAATGTTATAGTCAGTCAGTGGGGGACCGGGCTCTGTCGATGAGCCTACTGCTGCAGACCGGTACAAAAAGACATCAGTCTCTGTGCATCATCTGCATAACAAACTAGAAACAATTTACAGAGCTAGCAACGAGCAGACTTAGTGATGATGAGAAAACAGTTCATGAGGAAGAACCATTGCTCATTGTCACCCTGACACACAGTGACTATGTGTCCTTTACAGTGGAATCATTGTTCTCTTCCTTTCCTCCTCTGCCTCCCTCCTTCCTGCCTCCCCCTCCTCACCTCACCCAGGCGGCTCTGATGGGTGGTACCACCATGGTCATGGCGCTGGTCCTGCCTGAGCAGCACTGCTCCCTCCTGGACGCCTACGAGAACTGCCGAGCTCTGACCGACGCCAATGCTGTCTTACATGAAGTAGGTCAGCACACATGCTCAGTGGGCACGTTAGACATATTCTATGAGTCAACATGCCTCATTCAGCCTTTGGCGTTAATGTATGTGCTGGGTCATATGCTACATTTATCATCTATAAGCAAATCTAGTTGTTAATAACCTCCCCGTTTGTATCACTCACCGTAACCTAATCTAATCTTCAACTGATCAATTATTTGTCTATTGAAGGTCAGAAAACGTTCGCAAAATTCCCTGATGCAATGTCGACTAAAACCAATGCATATATTTAGTTGTGATGATTCAATCATGTGTTACTGAACCTCATGAACTGCCAGTTTTTAACAGACCTCACACTTAAATAAATATACATACAACGTAAATATACGTTTCACTGTTCACCCCCCATGAGTGAGTGAATGTGTTTGTTTGTGGGGCTTCTGATTTTCACTAATGTGAATCCAATATTATCTCTTTCTGGCTGCAACTTACAAAAACAAAAAACCTCTTCCTTTGACCCCTGACCTTTGTCCTGTGTTTAGGTGCGTAGCGAGATGGAGACCCTGGTGAGGGAGCACGGAGTGAACTCTTTCCAGATGTTCATGGCCTACAAAGATACGATGATGCTCAGGGACTCGGAGCTCTACCAGACGCTGCAGACCTGTAAAGACATCGGGGCCGTCGCTCGAGTCCACGCTGAGAACGGAGAGCTGGTGGCAGAGGTGCACACCACACAACCCCCACACATGCCTGTGTTTCTTCTTTGAATGTCCAGCACAGGAAAAATACTTGTTGTGTGTCTGTCATTCATTGTGGATTCTTTACATACTGGACAGCTAGTTTTCACATTTTAGGAGCCAACATTTGGATTCTGTCATCACTTGTGTGTGCGTTTTGAAATGTTGCAGAAACAATTACGTGATGAATTGAGCTTCTGAAGTGTTTGCGTGTGTGTTAATAGGGTGCTAAAGAGGCTCTGGATTTAGGCATCAGTGGACCGGAGGGTATCGAAATAAGTCGACCAGAAGAGGTAAATTAATATCAAAGATTATTCATTATCACGTTTAGTCATGACCTTGTTTGGATTCCATGTTTTATTTCCTTTTGGTATGCTTAAATAACAATAATATCACATTATCAAGGGTATGAAATATGTGTTTGAAAGTTAGATTTGAAGCTTGATATTGACAAAAAGGGGAGTTGTTACGGTGAAATGTTAATTCCCTTAAGGAGAAATATACAGAACACACACATACTGTAGTTTTTCTTTGGACAGCAAAAGAACTGAAATATGAATTTCTAGTGAGAGCTTATTAAAAGCGTTCAGTCTTGTTGTCTACAGCTGGAGTCTGAGGCTACTCACAGAGCCGTCACCATCCCCAACAAGGTAAACACGCAAAACCAGACATTTGAATGTGCATGTGTCCAAGCGTCTGCTTAGTGGGCTCCTTTGACTGGACGGAGAGAGCAGGTGAGCAGGTGTACGCCGCATTTGCACAAGAATGGCTGCAGGTGTATTTATTCACTGCTGAGCAACAACGGCCAGCAAAATAACGCAACGATTCAACTGGATGTTTTTACTTATGCTTATTATTTTCTGTGTTCACATAGTAAATCAGCCGTTGGGGAAAAGATGAACGTGTTCTCAAATGGAATTTGGGATTGATAATTTCATTAAACACTTTTTTTTTTACACTTACGGGGTAGTAAGTGTAAATGGGATTGTGGGTAATCACCTGATCACGTGTTGTTGTTGACGGGAAATACGAGCCTATGGATTGTTAGGTTGGAAGAAATAATGTACACACATTTGCATTGCTTTGACCAAGGAGCCAAGCCAAGCACAACAAAATGCATAATAAAGGGTGAAATGCAACAACGTTCCTTGTCTTAAAGCGGTGATCGGTCGTAGCTCTGTTGGTATCTTGTCCACTCACACCTAAATGTTCTATGATAAACTATTCAGCATTTCGGTTTGTACGTACCACTCCCCTCTCCCAAATGACACTCATCCTGTCCTGGACTCCAGCCACTCCGTGAGGGATCTTTGTGAAGTCGTCTTTGCCCAAAGCCCTCTGCTTGATGCTAAATGGACGGTGCTCTGATGCCACAACACTCAGAGAGTCGCTGGAAACAAGATGAATGTTATTGGTCCAAATCATCACTAAGCATCGACCCTCCTACATCTTTGATATCACTGCTGTATTTTAGGAGCACGTCCCACTTTGTACTGAGCACATACTTTCCCAGCAGGCCCATGAGGTAGCCTGGCGTGTTGGGGTCGAGGCGGAGAGGAGGGACGACAACGTGGGCGGCAGCATGAACCCAGTCCTGACGGTAATACTGCTTCCCGTTCAGCACGGCGTGAGCCACCGTGGTCTCTGCGTGGACCACCTTACCTGCAGGGACAAACAAAAAACATCGGTTACAAGAAGACAATCTGCTTCACGTCGTTGCCACTGTCAGAATCTGTCAGAGTTTAAACCCCTAAATCGAGCACCAGAACTCCCCTTTTTGTCAATATCAAGCTTCAAATCTAACTTTCAAACACATATTTCATACCCTTGATAATGTGATATTATTGTCATTTAAACATACCAAAAGGAAATAAAACATGGAATGTCAAAGGAAGAGGTTTGTTTTTTTGTTTTGTAAGTTGCAGCCAGAAAGAGATAATATTGGATTCACATTAGTGAAAATCAGAAGCCCCACAAACAAACACATTCACTCACTCGTGGGGGGTGAACAGTGAAACGTATATTAATAAGTGTGAGGTCTGTTAAAAACTGGCAGTTCATAAAGTTCAGTAACACGTCAATGAATCATCACAACTAAATATCTCTCAAAGAAATCCATCCCGTAAGCCTTGGCCAGCTGTGAGACAGACAACAGTGAAGCATTGACTTAAGAAAACAACAACAACAACAACTGAATGTCATCCCCTTCCACACATGTGCAGTGGGATCTGCGGGCTGTCGGCTTTATGATGATTATAACAAACGATTATACGCTTTTTGAGGAAGTTGAACATTTTGGTAAAGAAGCTTGTGGACTTTGCTGCCTTGATTACATCTCTTATGTGCAATAATGATAAGAGTTAGTCGAGCTTAGCTTATAACGTATAACTTTAACTTTAACGTATAATAATAAAGTATAATTATTATTATTAATCCATTATGAGACTAACCCACCTTGACTCCTTGCTCCGTGGCCACCTGCTTCTTGTCCACCTCATCTGACTTGTTCCCTACGAGTATCTTCCGGACCTTCTCAGGAGCGTACTGCAGGGGTTTGTCAAGGGAATGTGAAGAAAGAACAATTAACCCGCCGCTCTGCATTTGTCACAACCAACATCGCCGTCAGAGAAAGAGCTACCGAGTCCAATCGATTCATGATCATGAACGCATATGAGGAGATAATATGTGAATTTGAATCATTTCTGTCGGATGATTTGAACGTATTATACATATTTTACGTTGTTCATTCTGTACGTCCATCACAGTCTGTCCGTCCCAGGGAGGATCGTCCTGTGTCTCTCTAAAGGTTTCTTCCTTCCTTTCCTTTATTCTCCCCATCGAATACTTTTTCATTGTTTGGGGAGTTTTTCTTGAATTACATTCATGAACACGTGACATTTGAAAAAGAACAGAACAATCTATTGGCTCGTATAATATTTCCCTTCAACAACACAAAACACATTAACAGGTGATTACGCACAATGCCATCGACACACTTTCAGGGCACCCACGTGTTCTGCTCTGCTCTTATGCCGTTATATTTGTGCCACCATCCTGAGCGTGTAATTTTAAGTTTTGAGCACAGAGAACTATATTTTAGCAAAGAAAAACATATTCCGTGCGCGCAGTTCACAACGCTTCCTAAAGAAGACGGAAAAAAGCGATATTAGAAGTCCGGCTAGCCACCATCAGACATGACCCAAGCAAATGATGAGAACAGCAAGTGTTTTAATCCAGGCCATTAGCATTTAGCACAAATGCTGCAAACTTCAACAACTCGCTGAGCTTCCGCGATGCTGTAGGTAGTCCTACTAGCGTTGTGATTGAAGACCAACAGCCAATCACAATGGACCTTCTTTAGTTCTCTGATTGGTTGGTTTTGTGGCACAAATGTAACGCTGCTGCAAGTCGAGCGAGCGCAGAGCGAATAGGTGGAGAGAGCGCAGCAACGGCTGCCTGCGCGCAGAAAACCAGTTTGTGGAGAGGGCACCTGAGTAAACTGCGCGCACGGAATATGTTTTTCTTTGCTAAAATATAGTTCTCCGTGCTCAAAATTTAAAATTACGCGCTCAGGATGGTGGCACAATGGTGGGGGGGCCCAAATATGTTCAATGAAATAATCAATCCCAGATTACATTAGTGAGCACGTATATGATGGAATATTTCCTACACTGAATATTTCAGTAAAAGAGACTTGTATAAGTGTCTAAAATTTTATTCATTTCAAGTCACATCTACAAATACTTTTATCCGGCCAATTTAAGGTAATAGTAATAATAAATACCTGTTGAGTAATTCCACAACGTGTACTTGAAAAAGCAGACATTTTAATAACTGGACAATTACAACGGTTGTTTTAATATCTGACAACACACAATCCTTAAAGAGAACAAGAATCGCTGAAATTGCTAAAATTTGATTATTGAAAGCGTTGGCAACGAATTTCATTATCGATTCGTTGTGTCGGTTCAAAGAAAGACGCAGAATGCTTTTGTCTGCATATATTTCTATTTCTATTGCATCAATGTAATTTCATTTAATATTGCACTTTTTGTATATATTGTGGATGTAGTAAAACTACCTGTTCACTGTTTATGTGTTTTGTGTTATTGACGGGAAATACGAGCCACTAGATTGCTGTGTTATTTTTCAATGGTCACGCGTTGACGATCTCCTAAATGCGTGTACAACGTACAAGGTTTGGGGATTGGTCATTTCATTGAACATATTTGGCTTCACCCAGCCACCTAGCTGACCGGCCGGCGCCCGACCCACCACCTTGCCAGTCGGTCAGCTAGGCGGCCAAGCCAGCAAACTTACATTGCTAAGTTGAATAAACAGGTACTATACGGTCATGTGAACTTAGAGAGATCAGTCCAGAGCTGAGTTAAACGCAACATTACGAGTTGTACCAAATTGTAAATCCAATTTGATTTTTCTCAAAAGTCTCCAACATTTGGTGGCAGAATACGTGTATTTTAACCATTTATTTAATTATATTAAACTGTTTATTTTATTTAGCCAGGTTAGTACAGATGTATTTAATGCAGTTCATTTTATGTGATTTTTATGGTTCATTTGCAACCATTGTTGCATAATCTTGTTATATTTATTTTAGGGAAGAGGGAACACGTGTTTATTAAGCAGTACGTAATGAGAGTTTATGAATACAGACGTTTGTTTTCATTAATTGTGGTTTATTTGTCACACTTCCATCCAAAATGGAACGGTTAGGCCCAAGAGGTCAAAGGGCCCTGATGATAAGAAATAATGTTGGTCAAATGCTGCGGTATAAGGAAAATGACTTGTATGGCTTCATGGCATTCAGACATTTTGACTGTAGAATATTTGACATGTTTCTCACTAGGCAAGAACAATTAAGAAATTAATTGATTCTCTTTTCTCCATTTCCTCCATGTTACCTTTCACGTGACCCTTAGAGTGAATCACCTGTTCACTATTCATGCGATTGACAGGGAACACTGCCATGACATTTTTGAGAATTGTCATAACTACATGTACAAGGTTTTAAGTAATTGATATAGTACAAAAGGTTTTCTTTTGATTTGAAGATTTTTGGTTTCAGTCACGGTTTGCCCCCATTGCATTGTGGGTAATGACGAAAATGAACAAAAGTGTAATCCTATTCATATGAGAATAAGAAATGAACGTGTTCACTAGTGGAATTTGGGATTGATTATTTCATTAAACATATTTGCCCTCCCACCACCCACCGACATTTGGCTCTCACCCAAATCTCAGAAATTTGGCAACCCAATTTTGAATTTTGGCACTCACACACCGAATCTTCAATTTGGGACCGAATCTTTGCGGCCAGACCAGCTCGCGACAGCCTCCTGGCTGCAGGGCCAGGAGGCTGGCCGCGAGCTGGTCAGCCGACTTCCACATGCCTTATGTTTGGACTCGGGGCCTATAACTAAACGTCCCAGTGACGTTTGGTGAGGTCAGTAAGTGTCATATCGCCGCTAATTATAGTGGACACGTCATTACCCACAATGCAATGGGGTGGGGGCGGTGATGTTTAGAACTAGATCTCAAGATTCTTACAGCTTGTAGTAGGACCACCATTTACGCTGCGTTTTGATACAGCTGCAGCGGTCGGTTGAGTTGGTCCATCAGTAGGTGGGCTTGATCCGGACGATCCTGCACCTCGCTGTCCAGCACCACCAGGCGGCTGTGACATGCATCCAGCCAGACCGTCAGCGCCGCCCCCTCGCCGGGTACCGGTCGCCGGTCGGACCGTCAGCACCACACTTCAATATTAACCCCGAAGTTTAGTTTCTGACTCACCGATCAGTCGATTATTTGTACGTAAAATCCACCCGCCGCTGTTTCCTCGTGAAGACGTCGATCGCAGCGGTGTAAACTCGTCTCAGATCGGTGATATCGTTGAACACCGCCGTCATATTGACTTTGAATTTCGCGGGGATTAGCCTTACAACGTGGCTGGCGTAGTGACGTCACCGCGCAAATGTCCAGCAATATCTCGATTTTAATTGGTCCATGTGAAACGTAACGCAGATGCTTACTTGTATAACTTGCAAAGGTACAGCAGAGTTGTAATTTTCGCCGTAACCCTATGAGTGACTAATAATTGGCGCTATAAACACATAAAGTGTTCTCTTATAGTGTGAGGCACTTAAACAAACAGAAAAAAAAAATCGAATCCAGTCGGCCAATGAGGAAGTAATACAAGTTTTGAGAATCTGCATCTATCCACCATATTATATTCAACTATATGATGAAACACCATCGGGTTTGAGTTCACCGCGATGTTAAAACACTCAGTGCCTTTGTGTTACACAAGGAAATAAGTACCGGGAATACCGGGTCTCTGTATAAGCATGACGACGAGTCATATGTGCAAGTATTTACTCAGATACATCAGACATCTTTCCTCCAAGATTCACATGTTGCATGTAATATATTTCCACAAATACAAGTTGAAGTAGTCTAAAGGAAAGGATACGAATTCTTGAAAACAGCACATCGTTCAGTACAACATATTATCATTCTACACTGTGCACAGACCACAACTGATTTGAATAGCATTTAGTAATAAATCATTTTAAAAAATTGTAGCCAAATGTTTTTTAGTGATAGGGATTCTGTTAAGGTCTCAAACAGACAACTCTGGTCAAATGCTATTCTTGTATGGTCAGTTAACGATTCGCTTCATTGAAGCTGCAATAAAACAAAGGAAAGAAGCGTGAACTTGCATGCAAAACCCTCAATTGTCCCCTTTTAAGTAAGAGGTGGATGGGGAACCTTACTGGACTCTGACAAAACGGCAAGAAAGGGACCACCAAGTAAATGTCTTCAAAGGGAAAGGAGGGCATTTCAGACCAGAATATCACTGTGCACTTTTTTTTTAGATACCACCCTCTAGTACATTAAATGAATACCCAATACCTTCATAGTTCTACTAACATATAATGTTTTGAAAAACCTGGTATGTACAATGCAATGAGCAGTTTTTAAACTCTTTGTGCTCTATATTTTCATAGACACAGATAACATAAAAAAGCTCATCATCTTGCAACAGGAAAGTTGAATATCTTGTGCGGTCTTACGTAGATGATATTACAAGCTGCAAAATAATGTATTTACTTACCCGATAAATAATATTGTCTGCATATATTTAGAATCCTTTCATTGCCTTAAATGGAGTAACTGCACGTGCAATTAGAACCAAAAACCCAAAATAAGAAACGTGAGCATTATTTAACAGAACGACGCTCCAGTGTGTGAGCTCTTTTC